TAATAAATAATTTAAAATTTTTCAGTTTTAATTTTTGAAACAGTAATTATTGATAGACGTAAACTTCAAAATCAGAAGCTCTTTGAAGTTCTAAATTTTTAAGAGTGTAAGAGGGCTTCTAGGACAGCGTGTGTAGAACCTGCCTGGCTCTCCAGCTTGTGATTTCCTTTCCTCTCTCTTATTTTTGACTTGAACTTCCAGTTCCAGTCAAGAGGGAGTAGACACGCTTTTTCTTATGCCTCCTGTTAAGTACCTCTAAAAACCCTGGATACTATGTATAAATCAAACATAAGGAGACTCTGATAGAAGAAGGCAGAATTGGGAGGGACTTTTGAACTCAAGGAATGGCAATGGCAGCAGGGTGGTATCAACAAAGATCTACTGGGGAGCCTGAGCTTCTACCCTGACCCAGCAATAATGAGGTGACCCCTTCACCCCATCCCACCCCTCTGCCCTACAGGTGTCAACAGCTGAATGGGGAACCTGGACCCACCAGTGTGGTATCAAAGNCACTTTGGGAGGCTGAGATGGGTGGATTACCTGAGGTTAGGAGTTCAAGATCAGCCTAGCCAACATGATGAAACCTCATCTCTACTAAAAATACAAAAATTAGCTGGTCATGGCGGCAGGCACCTGTAATCCCAATTACTCAGGAGGCTGAGGCAGGAGACTTGCTTGAACCAGGGAGGCAAGACTCCATCTCAAAAAAAAAAAAAAAACCATTAACAGTGGTTGCCTCTGAATGGTCTGAAATGTTGGAACCATCACAAAAACACTTTAATGAGCAATTGCAGCCTACTTGAAACAAAAGAACAGACTCAGCAAAGAAATAGAAGGTATAAAAAAGAATAATACGCTTTGCTTGGGCCTTAAAAGGATCACTCACACTTCTGGGACTATCACCCTCACTTTGCTCCTGGGCCAAGACTTCTTCCTCTCTCTGGAACACCCGTATCTCTCACCTTTTCTCCTCTTTAACTCCTGCTTGACCAAAGGGTCAGCCCAGACATCACTTCTCCTGGGAAGCTTTCCATCGTCTTCCATGGCTTCCATGCCCTTCCCACTCAGAGCTTCCTGCACCACAGCATATGCATTGTACTCAATGCATATTGTTCTGCATCTGTCCCTCCCACATCCACCCAATGTAAAGACTTGACAGAAGGGACTGTATCTTATTCCAGGTGCCTGGCACAGTACCTGGCTTATAATAAGCACTCAAGAAATATTTTTCGAATAAATGAATACATTAATGAATAAATGGAAACTCTTCTGTAGCTCCTCTTCTGTTGAATAAAATTAAACTCTGTGGTTTAGCTTTAACACCCTACACAAACGATGACACCCAGATCTTTCTGGTACTCAGCTTCCCTTAACACTTTCTACTTCTCTGACATACCAGGAAACACATAGTCCTTTGAAATCACCTTATCTTTCCCCATCATTACATATTGTATGTACTCTTCTATTAGTCTCAAATGTCCTCACTTATTGCTATCAAAATCGTATTCATTTTTAGAGGACCCACTCAGAAACCACCTGTCCCTGAGCCAGTCTCAGATCTTCCCAGCTGGAAAGAGTCCTGCCCACGTCTAGATACACAGCACTTCATTTAGTCTTTCCTTGTGTTAGTTCTCATTTTTCTGCCATGTATTTTTCTTGCTTGTTTGTTTGAATGTGTGTCCTATTCTCCCCAAGACTTAAACATTTGGCGTTCAAACAAACTCACATCTTATTCATCTTTGCCTCTGCCACTGAGCACCTAGCACAGTCCCTTGTTATTCTCTGAGTTTCAGTTTCTTTTTCTGAGATAATAGAGTCTACTTCACAGGATTTCTGTGAATATTAAGTAAAGTATGCTATTTAAATATTGGCACAGTGTCTCAATTTTCATACCGTAAGGAGTCAAAAAATGTTAGCTACTGTCATTGTTAGTGTGATTATTATTTGAAGAAATAAATGGACTGAGCAAGTCCCGTAAGCTCTACCTTCAAAACACTTTTTGAATTCTGCTTGATCTCATCACTGCCAATATGATTACCTGCTCCCAGCCATGATCATTCTGCTTGCTACAGTCTCCTTCTATTTTCTTATCCCTCAACCTCTATTCTATACTCAGCAGCCAGCATGATCCTTTTAAAACATAAGGCAGGCCGGGCGCGGTGGCTCAAGCCTGTAATCCCAGCACTTTGGGAGGCTGAGGCGGGTGGATCATGAAGTCAAGAGATCGAGACCATCCTAGTCAACATGGTGTATTTTTAGTCTTTACTAAAAATGCGAAAAATTAGCTGGGCATGGTAGCACATGCCTGTAATCCCAGTTACTCAGGAGGCTGAGGCAGGAGAATTGCCTGAACCGGGGAGGCAGAGGTTGCGGTGAGCTGAGATCGGGCCATTGCACTCCAGCCTGGGTAACAAGAGCGAAACTCGTCTCAAAAAAAAAAAAAAAACATAAGACAGATCATATGACTTCTCTGCTCAAAACCCTCCAGTGGCTTCCCAATCTACAACTAAAAGTCCTCATGTAGTCTGACCTCCTGTCTCTCCCCACCCCCACTCACTGACACAACCTTATGGCCATCTTGCCCCGTCATATGAGGCTTTCTGCATTCGGTGGCTTTTCATCATTGGGCTTTGCACTTGTCCTTTCCCCTGTGTGGGATAATCTCTCCCAGCTTGGCATACAACCTGCTTCTCCACTTCATTCAACTGAACCTGTGCTCTCCACTGTTATTTTTCCGAAAGTAACCACCGTATGTAAAATACCAACCATTATTCTCAATATATTGTATATTTTTCATAGCTCTCAATATGACCTGAAAACATATGTATATACTTACTGAGATGACATTGTTTACTGTCCTTCTCTTCTGCTAGAATTATAAGCTTCATGAGTGTTTGCTCTATCCCCAGTCTCAAGAACAGTGTCTGGCACATAATAGATGTTCTGGCACATTTGGCACAGTGCCTGGCACATCATAAGGCTTGATGAATGATTGAATGGTGGCTTGGAACCTCTTCGATGGGGGCTTCAGGAAGAGAAGCAGCATCCTGTTGTACAAAATCGCTGACCTATTACTGCTTTTGTGAAAAAAGGAGGTGGGGATTAATCTACCTACAGGGGATGGCATGGAAGTGATCGATTTCTCTGGACTTAGATGGCATTTTAATTTATCTATTCAGATGAAAATCTGGCTGAAGATAATTCCAAGTATGCTCTCCAAAGTGAACAATGTAATGCCCTACAGCTAATTCTCCTGGGCTCACTGTGGACGAGGCAGCCGAGCCTCATGACCTCCAGGGACTTCTGTCCCGGGGCTCCTCCGGGACCTGCTTGGCTGGACAGACCTAGGATAGCTTGTGTTGATGAAATGCTCCAGAAGCGAGGTCCCAAACCTATCTTCACACTGCCACGCTGACTTCATGACATCCAACTGGAGGAACCCGGAGGAGGCCTTGGCAGAAAAGTAGGGTGATATGATGGGAGGAAAGGCTGCGGATTCAGGACTTCCGAATTCCAGGTGATGGGGCAAGCCACCTCCCGTCTCTGAGTCTTTGTTTGTCTTTATGCCATAAGGGAGTTGAATTAAATGTATCTTTAAAGTCCTCTTCAGCAGTGACGTTCTATAGTTACATGAGGTTTGCGTACAAGAGAAATTGGACTAGAGGGTGGGACAGCCAGAGAGAAGCCCAACGTGGAGGCGATTGAGCTGAGGCTGAGCAGTAGCTCAATAAGGCCAGCAGGTGGCGCCATTGCTGTACCAGGATGCTCAGGCCCAGGGTGGGAAAGTTGGATTTTTCCAGAAAGCAGGGAAATTCTTCAGGGCAAGCTGTCCAGCCTTCAGAGGGAACCAGTCGCCCCACCCCACCCCAACACACACATACCCCTTCCTCCCAAAGCCCACATACACATTGCAACAAACAGGGTGACTTGCATTGCAGGTTGCTAGGCCTGAGGCTGGAGGTGGTTCCAAGACTCGGGTGCCTTTTCTCCTCCTCCCATGTTTCCTAGGAGTTTGAACCCCATACCTCATGTGCTAGCTGGGATAGACCCTCACGGGTTCACGCTCAAGGCAAGATGTGCAACTAGACGAAGGCCAGCTGCACTTCCCTACTGATCACCATCGTCCTTTGCTCCAACCCTCAAGGCAGCCACGCCTTCGAGGGAAGTCTCTGAACCTCATCATTTTGCCTCCCCTGAGTCCTGGAGAGGAACCTATGGTTAGAGGGCTTGGGGAAAAGCCCGAAGAAGATGCGGGTGGAGGAGTGCTGAAGGGAAAGGTCTGGCTTTGTGGAGATAAGAATGGAAGAATCAACCTTTGTTTGGCCCCAACTGCCTCTGCCACTGTTGACACACTTGGGAGTGTTTCCTGGAGCTCCTCAGCAGTGTCGGGCAGCACTCCCTCCCCCACTTCCGACGGCGGGGCCTGGTAGGGGTGGGATGGGGGCTGTTCTGAAAGCTGGGGGGAGGGACATGCTTACAGTTTTTTTTCTTTTAATTAGGCTGCTGTCTTAATCTCGAAGGCAGAAAGCAGCCCCCTCCCTAAGTTGGCTGCCAGATCTCTAAACAACAATCCCCACATAGTCCTTCACCAAGTCTGCTCGGACCTGGGGGGCTGGGGAGGGGGATGGCCTGATAATAGAGGATGCACAGGGCATGGCTCCTTCCCTTTGTTTTGTCAGCAGCGATCAGTATGTTCCTCTTCTCAGAAGGGTGTTCATGAAGGGTACAGAGCTCCTAAGACCCCAGCACACCACCCTCCATTCTGAAGCGCCCTGGTGCATTCGGGCCTGGTTTCTATGTTTCCTCTCCTCGTGGAGAGTAGTTAGCAGACTTGGCTAAAGGGCCTTAGCCTCCTGGCTGGTGCCTGTGTCTGCTGAGGTGGTCCAACCTCTTGCCTGGCTAGTCTTCCCCCCACATCACTGCACAGTCTAGCTGGGTCTAATGGAGGATGCCGTTCTTGCACCCAGACATACCCAGCTAAGACAGAGTCATATAACAGATGTGTTTCAGTATCACTTTAATTGCAGTACTTAAACACGCCACTTTTTATTCAGAAAAAATATCTCCCCAATCCTCTCTTCTCTGGAAAGTTCTATTTCCAACTGTCATTGAAACCAGGATCCCTGCTCAACCCCTCTGGAAAGAAATCAACAGCAAACAAGGATCTGGGTCACCCACAGAAGAGGCAGCTGGTGATAAGGGTTAGGAGCTGATGTGGAGCTCTGACCACATGGGGGTGCAGAGCAGTGAAGGGGCTCAGGGTGAGGAAGGCAGAGACAGAAAAGCATCTGCTGGGGGACTGAGGCCACAGCTCAACCCAGGAGTCCACAGGAGGGAGGAGGAAGCCATGGAGATCAGAGGATAAGGCCAGGACCCAGCCTCAGAGGAAGAGTACAGGGCGAGATGCTCAGCTCCAAGACCTTGTCCCATGATCCTGTCTACTTGGAACCAGAGGGAGAAAAAGGAGCCCAGAAAGAGTTTCTGTGTGGCCCCAGAGAGACTAGGACTGAGCTGTTAGTCCTAAAACTTGGGAGCCCCATTCTAGGCTCCAGCCAGAAAACTGTGCAGGCCTCTGCAAATGGTGGGGAGGGTGGGGGAGCACATGGAGCTCAGTGGAACTTAGAGAACAAGAGAGGAGCTGGAGGCCAAGTACATAGTGTCTTGGAGGAGGGATAAGGGAAGTGGTTCCGGGCAACACGTTTTTCTGGTCATATCATTACAAGAAAGCAGGTGCAAAGGGTTACTTTGGTTTCCCCAAAGTAGAGAAAGAAAATACAAGGAAGAAACAGTAAAAATCAAAGCTGCTTGGGAGAACGCTGTAGCCTAGAAAAGCCCATCTTTCCCCTGGGAGGTTCCTGTGATGAGGCAGAGAGGAGGAGGGAAGGGGGAGGGGTCTTGTGTGAGTGCTGCCAGGCCATCCATCATTCCTGGGAGCTTCTCTGGACCTTGGCTTTCCCCCATCACACGGTTACCCAGAGAAGACCAGAGTCTGGCTCCAGGGAGCCGAATGTGTAAAGGGCAGGAGTTTACCTGCTCTTCCTCAAAGTGTAGGGCCCCAAGAACAGCCTCTGAGGTGTATGCAGTTGGGAAGGGTTGGGCGTAAGGGATGTCACCTCCAGCCTGGAGGCAGCACGTGGTCAGATGCAGAGAGGGGCGCTCTCCCGGACACTGCCCAGCCTTGCCCCACCTAGCCGAGTCACAATTCGGTATCAGCCACCACGTGTTGTCTTGCTGAATGGCCGTTTCTGGAGGTGGCCTGGCCGGTCCCGTTTTCCTGAGCCCCTCGGTTCACACTGGCCTTTCCCTGAGTCTCAGGGGAGGTCCCAGGTCCTGAGCTATAGCCCTGGCCTCCACCGCTCTCCGAGTAATAAGGGTCTTCGCCCTAGACAGTGTATAAATAAAGTAGCATTATCCGGTAAGCAGGGGTGTGAGACACTGGATGGGGGAGGGGCCCAAGTAGGAAGTAGGGGCGGGGGGGCAGGAGGAGGGACGGGGGAGGTGGGAGGGAGGATAGGGGGGAGGGTGCAGCTGCATGTGCAGACTCCTTTCTTCCTGAAGAGTGGTCAGGGTTCCAGCTCCTAGAGGAGAAAGGACATAGGAGAGGCACCACGCCACGCCACGGCATCACAGCAGCCAGCTCCCGCTGGGACACGGGCAGTCCCAAGAAGGCTGGGATGACCTCCCCAGGGTAGGGGACAGACCAGAGGCCAGGAGTCAGACCTCAGCCTTGTCCTCCCTCATCCAGAACAGCAAAAGGAGATTCTCCTTCTGTGTGTCTCCTTTTGAGCAAAGGGGCACCCACTGGACATTTAACATGGTTGCAAATACAGTGTGGCTGACTTAGCCTGTTCTGGTGGCACCAAGCTGAACTATCCCAGAAAACATAGTGAATAGATGACATGGATCATCTGCTACCACACCGAGTAGGTGGGCTGGCACCATTACTGTCCCCTCCCCAATTTGCTCCATAATATTTTGAATTTTCCACTGATACTATATGTGCACACGTGCATAGCTTTTTGTAAGCTCACAGAAGGGCTTTTTCTGGTATTTCCCCTCCTGCTCCATGACATCCACTGAACTCCCCGGAAACCCACTATCTTCCTCATTTCCTTTGCCCTGGCCCCCAAAACTGACCAGCCTTTCTCCTGTGGGGCTCCAGCTGCGGCGATTCATCAGGAAATAACCTGTGATGCCCAAGACGGCCAGCAGGATTCCGGCGGTGACCAGCGCGATCAGAGTCTTTCGGGAATAACTCTGGTGGCTCGCAACATCTTCCACTGTGAAACCTAGGATCCCCAGCTTGAAAAGAAACGCAAAAGATATAGCCTGTCACTTGCCAAAGGTGGAGCCCAGCCCACTCTAGCCCCCCGTGTGTGACTCAACAGTGCACAGATGCTTGAGGGGGTTGACCTCAGGCATTTTTGAAATGGGATTTGAGACTGACGTCTCTTAGTTCAGCCACAGCGCACCATTTCTGTTTCAAGACTAGAAAGGAGAAGACTCAGAGAAGGATGGTAGGTAGAACTGGAGAAGATAATGACTCCCCCACTTACTCCAGGGAGCTCCCCTGCCCCAGTATTCCCTCTGAGACCCATCATCTCAGAGAACTTACCTTTCTCAGGTCAGACTGGTGCTTTTTCATAAGTTGGAGTTTGCTGGAAATTTCTAGAATTAGAAACAGAGATTGCTAAATCTAGAAGGGAAACCAGCTTATCCTGCTCCACCCTCCCATGTTATTCTAGAACATGCTGTAATGGCCAAGGTGGTCCATCTTGGGACCACCAAAATCAGCCAAGCCCTTCTCTCCAGCACTTGTGGTCTCTCTGGATCTGAGATGCCCCATCTCCACTCAGGATTCTCTAACCTCAGACCTACTCCTTCCCAGTTTCCCCAGACAGAGGTGCATCTTACCTGTTCTGTTGGCCAAGACCAGCAGCAGGCACCGAGGTCTCACCTCAGACTGGGCGAGGAGCAGGGAGCACACCCGGGCCCCAGCCTCAGCCTCAGCCTTCTCCTCCCCACACAGCACTTGGCCCAGGTCCTCTCCCTTGGCCTCCCTAAACTCCACCTGGGAAGACAGAGAAAAATGAAGAGCAAGAGATGAAATTACTGCTCTACCCTAAATTGCACCCAGAGTCTCAGGCAGTAATTCTGATTAAAGCCACACCCTTACCCCGTCCACAAGAAGGATTCTTCTTTCTAAAATTCCAATGGAAAAAAAAATACTGCTAACTGTATATGTGCGACAACATTATTTTTTCTTATTGGAAAAAACCTAAATAATCTCCCAGGACCAAAATGCATATCTACTAGTATCTAAGATGTCAGAGAACAAACTTAAAAAAATGGTCTCATTGAAGCATTGCCTGTGCATACATATGCAAATTAAACTCAAAAGAAATGGCCAACAACAGAAAATAGTAATGATGCAATAATAACTAAATGAAAATATTCTGTTTCAAGATTACAGCAGTCCCCAGTGATGGAAGGTGAGGAGTAGAGGACAAATCTGTAATATACACTCAGTGGAAACCTCAGTGGCCTCCTCCCTCTTACTACCTAAAGGAGCCTCTTGAAGCGCATTGCTCAAACTGACATGGCCTTTTTGTCTGGTCTTCCATCCCCCCTTTTCCATTAAAAGCATGGAACTCAGTTTTAATGAAGTTCACAGATTTTTCTCCAGGTTGCTAACTGGTCTATCAGACCCAGGAACTCAGACTTGGAAGAAAAGCTCTGATAATTCTTCAACCGTGAGTCAGAATTTATTCCAGCAGCCTCCAATCAGAGTGACCTCCCCTGCACAGGAAAGGAATTGAAACTAAGACTTTCTCTTCAGTCCGGATGGCAGATGGCAGAGAAGGAAATGCCTGAACAGCCCTGACAACTTTCCTGTTAAGGAAAAACTGCTGGGGTGGCGTGTGACCATCATCAGAGCTGGGCCTCCGAGGAGGAGAAAGCTTCCTGTTTGCGGGCAGGGCTGCTGCTTGCAACAAGGCCCCTGGGCCCTCCCAGTTGGAATGGAGCCTGGGTATTTTCCCACTGCTGTGACCCAAGGCAGGAAAACCCAGGCTCCTTTGCTCCTACACAAAGCAAGGTCAAGATTGGCCTCAGGACCCAGCTGGAATTTGAAGCAGCTGAGGGAAAATAACTGGGCTTGGATGAGGCCAGGAGAGTGTGGTTAGCCAAACTCCAGGTCACAGAGACACGAGCCCAACTGGAGCCTCAAAAAATCCCCGGGAAACGTGGCTATAGAGAAATGAGTTCTCAGGCCGCTGCTGCTTCCTCCCTCAGGAAAAGGAGCAATTCTGCAGGTCTCCCAGTAAGTCCTTGGATAGATGCTCTGCCTTTGGAAACATTTGTTTTTCTGAACAGCATTTGCGCTAAGTAGCCCGGATGCCACACCGGACCGATCGACAGTCTCCACCTCTCTAAATCCAGTTGTCTCAGGGGAGCATTACATGGCTTCCCTTTGAGTACCCACACTCCCCAGCATCAAGAGTCTGGATGAGGAGGAGGAAGGTTCTTGTCTAGATGACTGTGGGCTTCTGAAGTGTCTCCAGTTGAAATAGGTCTGCTTCCCGAGAGAAGCAGGGGGACAGGGCTCCTGCAGGTCATAAACTCGCCAAACCAAATGTCACCTTCCTCCACCTGCTGAGTGCAAGAAGCCACACGTTGACAATTTGTCAAGCCCTGAATATAGGACACTGTGTGAAATCCTGTGCGCATGTGTTATGTATGTGTGTGTTGTATTCATGGGTCATATGTAGCGGGGGTGGGGATTGGGAGGTATCTATGAATTGCACCTGGTCAAAGCTTTCAGTTAGCTTGTACGACAATTAAAATAACAGATGTCAACCAGGCGTGGCAACTCATGCCTGTAATCCTAGCACTTTGGGAGGCAGAGATAGACAGATTAGATGAGACTAGGTGTTCGAGACCAGCCTGGACAACGTGGTGAAACTCCGTCTCTACTAAAAAATGTAAAAATTAGCTGGGCATGGTGGTGGGCATCTGTAATCCCGTCTACTCGAGAGGCTGAGGTATGAGAATCACTTGAACCCAGGAGACAGAGGTTGCAGTGAATCGAGATCACACCACTGCACTCTGCACTCCAGCCTGGGCAACAGAGCAAGACACTGTCTCCAAAAAAAAAAGTGTTCAATGTCGTGTTGAGAATCTAGTGGGCACTAGATAAATGATAGCTGTTACTATCGTTATTAATAATAGTAATACCTTCTATAACATATCATCTAGAGTCTACATATTGATCATATTCTGCCTATTTTATTGTCATTTTTCTCTGACTAGACTGTAAGAATCCCAAGTGTGTGTGTTGCAGGGTGGTGTACGTTATAGAATTTACAACCCAGACTGCACAAACCGTAGCAGCAAACAGACAGAAGAGCTCAAGGAATTGTTGTTCAACTTAACATCCCAACCGGTTGGCCTCCACACAGGGTCTCTCCACCCCTTGCACAGTTTCTTGGACTAGATTCAAGGGAATAATAGCGGCCAGCCTCCCACTCTGGAATCCAACGGCATCAGTGAATTGTGTTTGGGCCCCAAGAGGAACAGGTGGATCCTGAACAAAGCACAGTGCTTCTCCGGATGCTTGGAATAAACATCCTCCCCCAAGAGGCTGTGGGCAAACATCACGGGAGAGTGGGCAGGAGGAAGACACAGCCTCACCACTTTGTTCATGAAAATCAGATTTACAAGCTCCTAACCTCATCAGCTCATGCATGTTTCTTTGCAAACGTAATAAACCCATCTAGCCCCTCTGAGTAGCATTCTCAAACTTTGCAAAGACATCAAGCATTGGGATGGGGATGGGGATGGGGGGGGCGGAGGAGGGACAGGTATTTTTCTAATGACCTTTAAGGTATTTTCCAACCCTGAGATGCTAGAATCAATCATCTCCCCCCCCCCACCCCTTTTAAAATCATTTAATCTATTTTGGTGTGAGTTTGATAATGCAGGTGAAAACCCTATTTTCACATAGGAACTAGAATAACGAAGGGGCCTGTTTCAAGTCACCTAACAAGTGGGCAGCTAACCAAGGATGAGAAGTGAGATCGTCTCCAGATTGCAGGCTCTTTCCAGTAGACACACACCTTCATAAATCCTTCATCTGTAACTTATGTTTTCTGCATGGAAACTGACCTTTAGTGGATGCTGGAGGCAGCCTGCCTCAGATGAAGTCAATGTGAGTAAGGATAAAGTGAGGTAGCTGAGTAATTACAAACTCTGTATATAAACAGATGTGTTACTAAAGATAGGTAATTCTTTTTTTTTTTTTTTTCTTTTCTGAGATGGAGTTTTGCTCTGTCGCCCAGGTGGGAGTGCAGTAGTGCGATCTAGGCTCACTGCAACCTCCGCCTCCCAGATTCAAGTGATTCTTCTACCTCAGCCTCCCAAGTAGCTGGGACTACAGGCACGCACCACCATGCCTGGCTAATTTTTATATCTTTAGTAGAGCGGGGGTTTTACCATATTGGCCAGGCTGGTCTCAAATTCCTGACCTAGTGACCTGTTCGCCTCGGCCTTCCAAAGTGCTGGGATTATAGGCGTTAGCCACTGCGCCTGGTCAGGTATTTCTAAAGAACAAATAGGCAGGCAAAGTACTTGACTAGACTTTTCCCCAAAGAAGATCTACAGGTGGTCAATAGACGCATAAAAGAGGCTCAACATCACTAACCATCAGGAAACTGTAAATCAAAACTGCCGTGAGATACCACCTCATACCCATTAGGATGGCTGCTATTTCAAAAACCCAGAAAATAACATGTGTTGATGAGGATGAGAAGGAATTGGAACCCTTGTACACTACTGGGGGAATGTAAAATGGTGTGGCTGCTATGAAAAACAATCTGATGGTTCCTCAAAAATTCAAAATAGAATTATCATGTGACCCAGCCCTTTCACTTTTGGATAAGTTCCCAAAAGGACTCAAATCAGGGTGTCAAGGAGATATCTATACACTCATGTTAAAAGCAGTATTATACACATCGGCCTAAAGGGGAAAAAACCCAAGTGTCTATCAATGGGTGAATAAAGAAAAAAATAAGGTTTGCACACACAATGGAATATTACTCAGCCTTAAAAAGGTAGGAAATTCTGACCTGTGCTATGGCATAGATGAATCTTAAAATCATTACGCTGAGTGAAATTGGCCGGCTACAACAAGACAAACACTGGGATTCTACTCATAAGAGGTAGAGTAGCCAAATTCATAGGAACAGAAAGTAGAATGGTGGTTGCCAGGGTCTGGAAAGAGCAGGGAGTTGTTTCATGGGTACACAATTTCAGTTTTGGAAGATGCAGAAAGTTCTAGAGATTGGTTATACAATAATGTGAATGTACTTACTACTATTCAATGGTACCCTTAAAAGTGGTTAAGGTCATAACTTATGTCATGCGTGTTTTGCCACAATCAAGAAATATTTTGGTGGATTCCTCTGGACAGATGGGTGTAGCATAAAAGTATAAAGTAATCTTACATTTTGGAAACTATTTGGGGAACCACAACCACAAAAACTAAACTAAGCTGACACTGCTGTCGAGAGCATGAAAGACTTGGGAAGACACGTCCTGCTAAGGAGGGTGCTGAGATATGGCAACAGGTGTTTAAAATGAGAGCGCTATCACCTTCCCTTCCCCTGGCTGCCTAGAGGTGATGGCTGGGGAGCAAAAGGAAAGCGATTGAGATAGACATGTCTACTGGATTCACATACTGAAGACACACCTACAGAATCCACGTGGGGAGAGCTAACAAATTGGTATTCACTAGAGCTAACATATCTGCACTCACACAGTGTAGAACGAGTGTGTGGATAGCTGAGACTATCACATATTCCTGTTATGGGTATATACTAGACGCAGGAGCATACCAACATACGTAAGTAGTCAAGGATGTGATGCTCAGGGAAACCAAATCTTTCCTGCTTTTCACGAGGATATTAGGTAGGTAGGGGCTGAGGCTCCCAGCAGTAGAACCAATACCTTAAGGCCTTCTGACATCAAAAGTACAAATGCAACCTAAGGAAAATTAGGAGGCCCTGCAGCACTCACAGGCCTTGGAACAGATTGTTGATCAGAAAAGCAGGGAGTATGGCCCCAAAAAAGGGTATCTTGGACACAATCAGGAGCTGTGGCTAAACATTTTGGAACAGAATGGCTGGCTGAGGATAAATCACCTTGGGGAGTAGGAGGTGGCACTGTGGTGTGCAGGCTGGGGATGAGGAGCCCTCAGGAAAAAAAGGATCAACACTGGTGGAAAGACCACAGCAATAACAGCACCACATACGAGCTGCCACAGAGTTGCTCCTTGAAGGGGTAGTGTGGATGGAAGTCTTCTTTAGCAGAGGAACTGGAGGGGAGTTGCTCTCTTTCCACATCCCCGCTCACAGATCCTACCTCACTCTTAGAGGAACATGCAGAGATCTTCTCAGCCATGGCACGAAGTAGGCCAGACAGCAAAGACCACAGCAGAGTTAAGGGAAATTATTTCTAAAAGAGCAGTAAGTTTCTGCGACCTTTCTCGTATAGTGACCCAAGTTACGTGTGAACTTTGAAGAGCAACAGACAGCCAAAGGCTCTGCAGTTAACTCTAAATTCCAGGCACAAAGAATTAGCATTCTGGCACATACCTGGGTGATACACAGAAAAATAAATGCTCCTCCAAGTTGATAGGGGGAAAAAAAAGATGGTCATTTTCCGTGGCTACAATTAGCAAAGAACTTGACAATTGTTTTTTCTAATGAGTTAAAAATCAGCGTCAGAAACACGCTGCATATTACTTGCACATTGTATGTCCACGTTTAAGTGAACTAGTTTGCAGACTGCATTTAGTCATTCCACTATGCACACTCATGTCTTCACTATTTCTGTTGTTTTTATATGTCCTAAGTTAAATTCTTTCGGGTATAATTTTTACAATTTTGTAAGTCAGAGAGACCCAACTGATGGTTGTAGTAAAACTACCGAGTTAGAATGCACAAAGCAAGTAATTTATGCCCTCTACAGACTGTGATCTTTCAATCTATGCATGCCAGCACATCACATATGTGTTTCCCTTAAATGGATTCCCAACTCGTAAGAAAATGTTTTCTTCTGTAAGTAAATACAACTCTTTCTATCACGTCATCCTTCCTCCAGAGCTGAGTTACTGTTAGGAAATTAGATTTACTGAAACAAGCAAGGTCTATCAGAATCATTTAAAATAACACAATGCCCTGTACATTCTTTCCAATGCAGTAACACATGAAACTGAAACAAAAGGCATAACTACTAAACAGGAGGAGAGAAACAAGATATTGTTGTAGATAATAAGGTAACTTACCTTAAAACTGAAAGGAATCAACTAAAAAGCTCCTAGACTCAGGCAAGTTCAAGAAACTGGCCAAACCCAAAATAATTACCCAAAATTCCATTAACTTTCTAACCTATTGGTGACAATTAATTTGAATATATTCAAATTTGGAGATTGAATATATTCAAATTGGGACATCTATGTGATAAATAAGCCTAAGAAATCCATCAACTCTAGAGAAAAAATAAAGCTAAAGAGACAAGATGCTGAGAGACACACACACAAAAAAACAGAAAAAATAAATTTTAGAGCAGTTACAATTCAAATTTTAAAGCATTTTTTTGCATTCTTTTCTAAAAGAAAAAAATAGTTTACATTTTTTACAGTGTAATAAAAAAAGACCTGCCCTGCCTGACTGGATATGAAAAATACTATAGTAAAAACGTACAATAATTTTGAAAATTTAAAATAGGCAAACCTATAGACAAACTGAACGAATAAAAGATGTCTGAAGAGTATGCCCTGAGACATATACAGACAACATAAGCTGCCGGGCATGGTGGCTCACGCCTGTAATCCCAGCGCTTTGGGGGACCAAGGTGGGCAGATCACGAGGCCAGGAATTCGTGGACTTTGAGACCAGCCTGGCCAACATGATGAAAACCCATCTCTACTAAAAATACAGAAAAAAAAAAAATTAGCTGTGTGTGGTGGCGGGCGCCGGCCATCCCAGCTACTCGGGAGGCTGAGGCAGGTGAATCTCTTGAACCCGGGAAGTGGAGGTTGCAGTGAGCCGAGACCATGCTACTGCACTCCAGCCTGGGCAAGAGCAAAACTCTGTCTCAAAAAACAAAACAAAAAGCCGAAAACTTAATATAAGCTAAGGGAAACATCCCATACAACAAAAGAGGGAGTCATTCGATAAATAATGTTAGGAAAAATGGTTAGTGCAAAATAAACTCTGTGTGGATTAAAGAGTTATGTGTACATATTCAATAATAACAAATGAAATGATAAAGGAACCGACATTTTAGGTGACTAGTTTCTATCTGGTGAGAAGGACTTTCTAAACCAAAAAGCAACTTACATCTGACTCTCTCCGATTTAAAAGGACTAGAGAGGGAAAATAAAAATAGTACTATAGAGGAGGGAAAAAAGTACTATGGGGGGGAAGAGGAATCGAACAAAATTTATTAATAATGAAAACTGTTTTTGCCTTTTTTGCCCACCAGATGGGGCCTCTTACTCCCTAAACAGAAAGCTCAGTATAAAAGACATGCTGACCAGGCTGAACTCCCCCAACCCCTACCCAAATCCAGTCTTATCCAAGAAGGTTTAAGGATGTTCAGAAGGGAGTGAGGAAGGGGACAGGAGGAAGAGGTTGGGTGGGGGTTTGACTTACACAGCTGGAGGTCTCATTTTGCTCCAGGCAGATGCCCTGAGGCAATTTCACTTCTTTGATGCCTGAACATGTGATTTCTGTCTGTATTAAAATAAAAACAATAACAAAACCCAGGTAAGTAAACCAGCACCTTTGCTCCTCATTTCTTTCCCAACTTTTTCCAGTTTGCTTTCTGTGAGGTGCTCTTTTAGGAGGTTTTAAGGAAAAGGAAATTTAAAATTTGTCAGGGGACTTGGAGATTTCTAATAGTCATACTCTCTTTTATTTTACTTGTATCCTCATCAGATGACAAAAATTTTGTTACCAGCCTGGGCTTATGGCAAGTAGCTATTTGCAATCCTGGTAAACACTGGCTTGGATGGTGCAGGAATGTGAGAGGGGACGATCTTTTCCCATTTAGGCTGTTTTCTCTCCAGTCAACCACAAACTTTCAGGAAGGCCATGCAGGCAAACAGGGATAATGGTATGGACCAGCAGATGCACCTAGTTCCCTCCTGGCCTCCAGGACTCTTCAGATTCCCATTTTGGCTCTTTTTTTTCTGATGGAGTCTTGCCCAGGTTGGAGTACAGTGGTGTGATCATGGCTCACTGCAAACTCTCTGCCTCCCAGGTTCAAGTGACTCTCCTGCCTCAGCCTCCCTAGTAGCTAAGACTACAGTGCATGACCACACCCAGCTAATTTTTGTATTTTTTGGCAGAGACGGGGTTTTGCCGTGTTGCCCAGGCTGGTTTCGAACACTGGACCTTAAGTGATCCACCCACCTCAGCCTCCCAAAGTGTTGGGATTATAGGCATGAGGCACCATGCCCAGCCCTGGCTCCTTTGAAAACAAAAAGCAGGCAGATCCCTCAGGCATATCTCATGGCTGAGGCTTTCATATTTTCTGTCCTGCATGCTGAAAGCTGTTGACAGTCATAGGCCTTAAGGTGAGAGGGCCAGGCTGAGCCCACCATCCCTGGTTTGCCCAGTTCCTGCCATTGCCAGTGCCCCCTTTCACTGCCTCTCTAGACCTGGCACAACCACCAAACCCTCTCATGTAAAGGAAATGTTATTTGTCCTGATCATCTCAGGAGAAGCAGCCCCAGTAAATGAACAATAGTTTCCAAATATTCCCAAAGGGAAATGGTGCCATGGTCAAAGTCCCACCAATAGGTACTAGAAAGAACCAGAGGAATGGATGGATCTCTGAGAATCCCGTTTACTCTCTACTCCCTAAAATGCAATACCCAAAGTCCAGATGGGCCTTACTACCTAACTGTACCTCTTTCCCCCTCTTCCTACTTCTCCTAGCAATATTTACACTGTATATTTCCATGCTGATTCCCACATGACCCAAATCCCACTGGGAGGGATGAGGAAAGAGGTGGAGAGAAAGAGACAGTTTGCCTGCATACATATGAAGTGAGAGGCAATCTGCCATTTTTGGCCCAAATTCACCGACCTTGATGATTCTTGGGATAGGAGAAGATGATGTATAAGGTTCAGTGGGAGATGTGGCAAGGCTAGTGCTAGTTGGTGAAAGGTCTGAAACATTTCCAGGTGACAGGCTGGTCTTCAGGCTTGTCTCTGGAGTTGAAAAGTTGGCTGGGGTAGTGAATGCTGTGGTGATTACAGAGGTCTGTGACTGAACAGAAGAGTTTGTGGTTCCATAAACTGGGGTGATCACAGAGGTAGATGTGGAACTGACTGCAGTTTCTGGAAGAGACCAAAACATGGGTGTGCATGTGCTCAGACATACTCACAGTCGCAACACAGAAAGGGGAGTTTGGGGAGTTAACAGTTAGTTCGTGCCGCATCCCTGACCAAACTCATTTCAAGCTGCTGGAACCAGAGCTGGAATCTAGAATGTATTAGAGGTGCCCTGAAACTGAAATAGATGCTGGTCTACCTTAGAGAAGCCAAAGACGCCCCCAGTTTGGACCTGTACATACCTTCTTTCCTTTAGAAGAGATCAGACATCTCCACGGAGTTATCTGATCCTTATTTTATCACTAAGCTGAACTCAGCATGAGAGAAGGGGTATGAAGGCATTACTGATCGGGATCAGCTGCCAAGACATGGGCCTGAGAAAACTGCCACTGAAGGAAGAATTATCTGGAACTTCCTTCTGGGTGCCCTAAGCATGATACTCAAACCATTCATACTAGGGGCTTGTATAACTTCCTCTGTGGTGAGGGGAGCAGTGTGAAAACATCCTAAATACTTTACCCAAGCATCAGCAGCACCTCTCTGGGACATGACACAAATGCTCTTTTTACCTGTGATGGTTGATGGGCCCTCAGTGCCATTCTGAGACACAGGGTAGTGGCTGGCAATTCCGAGGGTAGTAGGTATTGCAGTTTCTTGGTTGGATGCATTTGTAGAAACAGTTGGAAATATTCCCAGGGTAGGTGACTGTGGGGTAATAGTAACATTGTCGTTGTCGGGACTCGTGAATCCGGAGGCTGTAGGGAAATGAGGAAGAAGAAGAATCAGAACCTAAAGATATCAGCCTTGTGATAGCACCTGATGCAATTTCCTGACTTCAGGTAGAATCCTTCTAGAACATTCCCTGCTGCCCCTGGCAGTGAGGCAGTAACAAGAACATACTCCTGGATGGTAGACTAATTTCCCACTACCAGATTTGCCCTGAGGACATAGGAAAGGAAAGATTTATATGCATACAAATGTCTCATAGAGTATTATTTATAGGAGGGGAAACGTTGTGAGCAATTAAATGAATCACAATAGGATAAGTGATACATGCACTTAATATACCATAATGGTTACATCATCATATACATGATCATTAGGAAGAAAAAATTATAAAAACTGCAGCAACATGGAAATATGAGGCAATGTTCATAATATGTTTAGTTGCATACTAAAATATAAAATTACACCTGCATAAATATTGCAAAGATCTAAAATGTGCAAGAGGTCATACTGATTTTTCCTTTTCACTGTATCCTCTTTTGTGGTCACTCTCCATCCAGTATACTATCTCTTGGAATAATCGCTAGACTCACACTGTCTCTATGCAATCCCCTTAAAAATCTATTCTTCTTGGCTAGGCATGGTGGCTCACGCCTGTAATCCCAGCACTTTGGAAAGCTGAGGCAGATGGATCACTTAAGGTCAGGAGTTTGAGACCAGCATGGCCAAGATGATGAAGCCCTACCTCTACTAAAAACACAAAAATTAGCCTGGCATGTTGGCAGGTGCCAGTAATCCTAGCTACTCGAGAGGCCGAGGCAGGAGAATCGCTTGAACCCAGGAGGCGGAGGTTGCAGTGAGCCTAGATTGTGCCACTGCACTCTAGCCGGGGTGACAGAGCAAGACTCCATCTCAAAAAACAACAAAAACAGTAACAAAAATCTATGCTTCTCAGACTTCCCCATTTTCAAATTCCCCTCATCCTTTTACTCATGGTCTTCAAACTCATTCACTTTTCCTTTTGTTAAGGAACTCAGTTTTTAGGATGCTCTGACCTCGGAGGAGTTCAGTTAATGAACCAGAGAACACAAGGCCTGGTTTCTCGACAATGTAGTTCCGGCTCTGCCAATAACTAACCATGTAATTTAATGCATGTATGTATCTCAGTTCTTTTACCTCTTAAGTAAGGGTCTTTTCTGGCTACCTTACACAGATTGTTGGGACAATCAATGAGATAACAAATGCTAAATTATTGTAGTATAATGTTTTGGAATTCATTATTCTCAGAAGATCTTCATGAGCGTCCTTGCACATCTCTTCCACATATTCTGGGATACATCCTTTTTCTTTTTTTAAGACAGGGTCTGGCTCCATCACCACCATGCCCAGGCTGGAATGCAGTGGTGAGATCATAGCTCATTGTAACCTTAAACTCTGGCCTCAAGTGATCCTCCTGCCTTGGCCTCCCAAAGCTCTGTGATTACAGGTGTGACCTGCCGTGCCCAGTCAGTACCATCCTTAGACACAGGAAGGAGAAACTTCCTGCCAGAACCCTGTGCCTCTGAGGGCCCACACCCTGTCCTGCTTCCTGTGAGGACCAATCAGGAGGTACCCTCTCTTCTAGATCATACTGTGGGGACCAGAAGTCCTAGCACTTCTTGCTTAAGTGGCACTTTGCTCACATCCACAATGGGGCTCTTTTCCCATTCCATCCTGCTATGGGGAACAGCAGCGTGAGGGCATATACCCCCAAGGCCCAGTGGTGGCCAAATGATGACTGCTTGAGGGCAGAAGAGTTAGTGCTTAGTGCTTAAGCACATGGGTAGGGTGTCCAACGCACACATGCCATTCCCCTGCAATGTGAGCTGGAGTCATGGGTAGGAAGCAGAAAAGGGGAGTGGGCTGGGGCCAGGAACCATCTTTTCCTGTCATTGAATTCCAAGTATATGAGCGTCCCAAATTCAAACCTGGCTTTCCAGGTGATCATGAAGGTAAGAAGATAGAAGATACTTTATCAGTTAGTTGGCCTGGCTTATAACTTTGAAATGTTTAGAAATACAGTATGTAGGCTGCTATTGTACTCTTGTCCTGCACTTTGTAAATGTTAAGGGTGAACTTCGTGTCCAGAGTTCACACCAGAAGTTCTATCTTCAAGGAAGCTCCTGATGGTCCCAGGCCTCCCTAAAGTTTGTCTCTAAATTTTCTTGATTGGGATCTGGATCTGTATTTTTCAGCAATGTCCAGGTAAACAGCAAGGTAGAATGACATCTCTTGTTTCCCTCAGGATGGAGGGAAGTTAGACTTTTTGCTTCATGGCCATCAACCTGGGGCCAAGAATGCTTTTCCTAAAGGTGATGACAAGGTTTTCACTCTCTCATATCTACTTCCTTCTGCCACAAGTAGATTGCTGTTAATGGCAAGTGAAGCAACCATGTCTTACTATGATGTGTCAGGTAAGCAGTGGGAGGAAGGATATCACTATCTCCATCTTAGAGGTAGAGAACCTGAATCACCAAGGTGTTGCCCAAAGGAAGACCCCAGTTTGTGAAGGGAAGCAGCAATGGAACACTAAGGTTTAGCAGACTCTTGAGTAGATGCAGCAAGGAAGTTAGGCTGGGGCTAAACTGTCAAAAATCTGAATTCATCTCCCACATCTCCAGAGAACAAAGGACGGGCTCCCATCTGGCTTGAACAATAGGTGGGTTGATCAAAATAAAATTGATGCAGAAGTCAATCAGGCTTCTTTCCTGTTTAGATGGGACCCTCTCACCAGTCTGACTTTAAGGTCAGATTCATCTGAATTCATCGAAAGAGGCAGCATTCAGACACTGAATTACAGGATCACCCTCTCAAGGCACCACTCCAGGACTCCTCATCTTGCCTGCCCTTTCCCTCCTCTCCCGCAGCGTACCGATTCCTGGGAATCCCATCTGGTCCACCCTGACCCAGCCCTTTTCTATCTCCAGAGGAAGCTGGGCCTGACTGAGATGATGTCATGCTTTTGAACCCCTCCCCCGAAGGGCCTCCTTCACCCAGACAAACACTTTTGAACTTTTCCAGATGTGGAGTGAGACCTGCTGCTAGTTCTGAGGACAGAGGTGCTTGTTCCAGAAGAGCAAAGCAACTCTGAACCCAGGCCAGCTACTCACCCACTGGGGCCGGGATCCCAGCTGCAGCAACCCCCTCCACCTACCACCAGGACAAGTACCGTGGAATAAGTAGTGGGATCCACCTGCAAATGAGAAGGGGATCCCAATTTCAGAGTCAGGGCTCTGAGCCCAGGGCGAGCAGAGCACCCTCTGAGACACCAGGCGGATAGGACACGTGAGAGAGCAGAAAGGCAAAATGGAGTGATCAGGAATGCCTGAGCTGGTGCAGAGCAAGGGGACACGTTGGCCAGGGACCTGGAGCCAATCCTGGCATAAATGCTGCGGCACAGGGGGGTGAGTGCATCTCTTAGGCTCACAGTTTCTAGAGCCCTGGAGGAACGACATTTATGAGAGTCAAGACTCACCACAGATCCCTTTTTATCTTATCTTCCCACACACATCCATGGCATTAAGCCATCAAACACTGACCTTTCTTTATGTGACCTTCTGACTCTCAACTCTGTAGGGGGGCTAGCAGGAGCCTACCAGTCAGTGAGAGCTTGTCAGATCCTAAGAGACAATTGATGAAACCTCCGCTCCCACCTTTTCATCCTAGATGGGAGGAACGGCCCCTACCCACAAGGCTACAAGAATTATAGTACAGTTTAAAGTTGAATAAAAAGCTCTCCTCTGTGGTTTACTTCTCAGTCAATCCTTATTAACTGTGTCTCCTTAGGGGCTCCATTTGACCCTTAGTTACCCTATTTGATCTCAGCTCATTAACTTGGAGCAAGGGAGGAGAGAAGCGCTCAAGAAATTAGTGAAATGAGGATTCTAAGAAGCTAAATAGATGTCACAAAATTCATGTAGTAAAAGTCATGCACTGAAATTTTAGGTACTTCTTCAGAGGCAATTATTCTTGTTTTATACATAATTCTATTAAGCCTGTTTATCTGATATCCCAGCTAACATTGAAAGGTAGGAAGAGCCTATTAGAAGCAAATAATAAGGAGAAGCAACAGCTGAAAACAAAGAAACAAAAATAAATGAAAAGCAGACACAAGTATCAAAACTCACACCAGTTTTCTGGAATCGTTTATGGTAGGCGTAAACAGATCAGCTATATCTACCTTATAAGCATTGATTATGTCATTGAGTTGCAACACAGCCACATCATTTTCGTGACACATCTGAGTCACAAAATCCTTTTTGGAGAGTATTCTAAGAAAGCGAAGACATGTGCAATACATTTTGAAAATATTTCTACCTGTTGTTAGTAAACTGAAGACTCTTTTGGTCTTTAAAGTGAGTTTGCAAATCCTCAGAGATCCAGAAAGCCCTGCTACCTAAAATAACTAAATCCCCGTACTTGAAGAGACCATTTTCCTATACTTGGTCTTGCCTTTCACAGCCCTCCTTAGTTTTAGTTTTTCCCTGGTCCTGTTTCCTGATCTGCTACCAGTCTTATTTTGTCCATCCTTTCATATTCTAGCACCTGGATCAAGAGGAGTATCTTGAAGGAGTTTCTGGGAATCTTAGTCCATAGAGTTACAGAACCAGGATGAAGGGACATGCCAGCCTCTGCCAGGAAGTAGGCAGTTGCAACCCACAGACTATGTTGCCAGAAGGCAGTATAGCCTAGAGACAAAGAATTCAGCCTCTGCAGCCAGACACACCACCCATTCAAAGGCTTCTTTACCATGTTTTAGCTGTGTGGTTTGGACAGTTACTTCAACCCTGTAAACCTCACCTGTAAAACAGAGATAAAAGTAATCTCTACGTCTTAGCTGTTTTGAGGAACAAAGGAGCTAAGAAGTAGAAGCAGTTATCCAGTCCCGTAAAAGCTCAAGAAACAGTGGATTTTGTTTGTTTTAGGACCCTTCCTTCTGCTTCTCAGAGGGCAGACACTTATCTCTATGAATCATCTGCCACAAAAATCA